GCAGCAGGGAGTGTGTCATTTTCTAAATGCTTTGAAATCACCCTTACTTTTACCCGATTTGCTTCAAACTTCATCTGTATAATGTAACACGCCAGATGAAGACCTGTGAAAGCATTATTTAATATCTCAGATAATGTTGCCATAGCAACGCATTGAACTTTAATATTCTTTTTTGATGATTTTGAGAGTCTTAGCGGCTTTTGGGGCCCTTAACGCGCTTATAAACTCTTGAAACTTTGCACACAGGTCAGATCCCACAGCCATCAGGGCCGGGCTGAAGCTGGTACCCGGGCGTGACAGGGGGGCTTAACAGCACCCCCTTGAATGGGGTCCCCAAACCTTGGCCCATAGATCAAACACACTTGCATGAATTAATACGAAACTCAATACACATATAGATCTCATCAGGCCGAACAACTTTCCCTCAGTTAAGTTTTACACCAGGCCAACAGGAAGTCGGCTATTCAGGGTTGTTTGGAAAACACATGCAATGGAATTTAAAGTAGAGTACCTAGAGTATTGATTCAAATTCCAAGAAACTCGGTCAGCATGAAGTCAAGACACTGAGGATGAGGATTTTTGATATCTCAAACGGTTTGGCAGTGACGAGGAAACAAAATTATGGTGAGAAACCTGAAACAGGAAGTCTGTTATAACTTCTTTATACATTAAATGATCTTGACGAAAATTCCGCAATGTGTTCATTGTAAGAGGCCGATCACATGTATGTGACTATTGTGAGACAAAGTTATAATGCCACCAACTGGCAGCAGGAAGTGTGTCACTTTCAAAATGCTTTGAAATCCACTTATTTTACCCGATTTGTTTCAAACTTCATTACTATTATTTAGACACACCACGACAGATGAAGACCTGTGAATGGATTCTTGATATCTTAGACACTGTTGCCATGGCAACACATCAGACTTTAACTTTCTTTTTTGGTGCTTTTAGGTCAGGACTCTCAACATACTTGAAATTGCATGAAACTCGACAGATACATCACATTTATTAGCCATTTATGGCAAAGGATTAAAGTAAAATGTCAAAAAAGTAAACACTAAAAGCCTCATATGTTCTAAAAATGTAATTATACAACATTTGTTTCTTAATGAAATTATACAAATATCATAACTAAACCAAATTTTCCCTTTTTTCGCAATTTAAGAATTATGTTTACGTTCAAAAACAACCAGAATGGTTGTAAAAATCAGAAGAAAAAAAAATCTGAGTCATACGTAGTGCTATACTGCCCTCTTGTGTTCAATATCAGGTAGGCCTATTGTATTGTATATTCCCACCGGTTAATCAACGTGTGACTCCGCTGGGACTGGGAGCTTTTAAATCGCTTACTTAAAACCGAAAGTCAAAATACGGATGACATTTTAAATAAATTCCTATTAAGTAGGATTGAACTAAACAGATCACTCTGTTCTGCTGGTTCCTCGCTGGTGGCACGCACAGTTACGAATGCTAGTGCAGCCGTGAGTTTTAGCGCCATTTCGGGGTTCATATTATTTGAATTTATTTTACAAAAACACAATGTTGAGTGTTATTATAACACTGTTCAATCATGTCCACGGTTATATTTTATAATTATAATGCATTTCTGTATAAAATAATACTACCAATAAAAAACACATTTGATTTTTATTTTTTAATCAATGTAGAATGTGTAACCTAAAAATAAACAGATTATTTGATAAATGGTATCAGTATATTTAAATATGCATATTTTAATATCTGCAGGGCATCCTTAACCTTGTTTTAATAAATGTATGCTTCATTTTGAATTAGTAAATTGGATCAATAAATGCAATAATTTAGAATTTATAAGACACCGTATAAGGCTGATCAATTTAAATTATTTACACTGAAAAATAACAATGCATTAAATAATTTTATGAGATTTGTTTTAATAGGAGTCAATTAAAAATCGTTGTAAAGAACGATACTTTTAAACATAACCCTAAATCGCCATAAGGTATCGCCAGACGAACGAATCATAGAATCATTCGTTCAAAATGCTGAATCATTCAGTAATGAGAAAACACATTGCTTAGAGATGCACGATGGTTCGCTGTGATCTTTGTTTAATTATTTTCTTTGCTGAAAGAGAAAAAGTCAATATTGCATCTAAAAGTTAAGTGACTTGACTTATGCGTCTGTGACTATGTTTGTTGCAGTGATAAGAATTGCACCCTTGTTAAAGTTTAAGGGCTTGTCTTTTTGGATATACATCTTTTTCTCTTTTTTTCTTTTTTTAAAAAAATATGCATATAACCCATATATTTTAGATTTATGATTTGCTTTAAATTAAGATTGTATTTTTGGTAAAATTGAACCTGAATGAATTTAAAATTAATGTGTTTCAGATCATGTAATTCTTAAAATTTGCACAAACATTAACTTTATTCTCAGCTGAATTATAAATTATTTATTTCTGTATAAAATAAAAACACATTTGATTTTTCTTTTTTAATCAATATAGAATGTGTAACTGAAATATAAACATATTAGGGCTCTGTTCGAGGACAAGAAACTAAAACCAATGCGACATGATGAATGTCCAAAAGATGGTTTTCCCAAACCATCTCAGTGTAACAGCTTACTTTTCTTTCTTACTATATTCTAAACTGTGCTGTAGAGCTTGCATCAGTCAAAGCAGGGTTACGTTTTGCATGTAGTGCACAATAACCCTAAAGGCACCAGGGTGGCGGTGCCACCGGCTTTATATATATATATATATATATATATATATATATATATATATATATATATATATATAGCTGTGAGCAGAGTTGAAGGGCCAAAGCCAGTGGCGTTGCCACCTGTGCCTTTAGGTAACTAAAGGAACAGGTGTTGCAATGCCACCGGCTTGGGCCCGTAATCGCTGCTCGCGGTCGCAGCCGTTTTATTGCGTTCTTCTTGGAGCTGCTCCAATTTATATTCAAAAGCCTTAGGTGTAAGTTTTAATCGTCTTTTCTCAGTAGACCTTGTACCAGTCGACTCCATTTTCGTTTACAAAGTAATAATAAAAAAAGAAAGAAAAAAATCACAAAAAATAAAAAAAATACTGCAAAAAGTCCTAAAACAAACAAACAGTAAAATTACCTTATATGAAAGTAGCCTACCGCTAAGCCTAACAGGGAATACAAATGTTTCTTAACAGACAATTCACAATGTTCGATGTTTATACTTTGTGATAAAGACGACTGCGATGACAAAATAAGCATAGTACTACAGCCAATTTATGAATGGATGGGCTTACGCGAGTCTCACCGCGCTGGCTCGTCAACATTACAACATTGAAAGCGATCGCAAACATCCAGTGTTGTCCCGACAATACGTTTGAATCAGCGCAACAACAACTTTCTGTTGACACAATATTGCGGCGATATCACTAAAACAAAAACCTAACCTAACCAAAACAACTAAAACGCCGCAGCAGGCTGAAACATGAGGATTTCACATGCTATTTCATAGAAAACAAATCACTTACTTTGAGTGATGCACGTTGTAAGCAGTGCAAAGGTAGGCTACCTCAGAGACATCAGTGAAAGATGTTAGTGATGATGACAATGATGGTAACGGTCAACAGAAAGTTTCTCCCCATGCTCACCCTGCAGCCATAATCCAAACTCAAGCTTGCCCACAGGTGAGCACACTCACACATTAATACAGACACCACACCCCCGGTCACACCCACAGTAAACGATGACGTCATCATGCGCGTGCATGTACACAACAGTGCAAAGAAAAGAGAAAACATAATAAAAGCCCGAACAAACCCAGTGTATGGCTCCTACACCAAAGTAGTTCCAATGAGGTCTTGACCGCATTACATGTGTCAACCAATAATGAACCAGCGTTCTCCGTTGGATCTGGAAGCACTGCACTGTGTGTAAGAAATTGTTGAATAAAGTAGTTATTGTCGCACAAAAAGTATTTTTGTTGCTTCACAACTGTAGTCAACTGGAATTTAGAATCAATGTCTTTACTACCTTTTGGGGCCTTGAAAGTGGTAATTAAATTGCTGTCTGGGACAGAAAGCTTGGATTTCATCGAAAAATATCTTAATCTGTGTTCTGAAGATATCTTAATCTTGTTTTATGGGTTTGTGTCGACATGAGGGTAAGTAATTAATAACAGAAATGTCATTTTTGGGTGACCAACCCTTAGTTCTTACAACAAATCACCAAAATAACCTAAACTCACAATGACACTGACCAAGCAAATAAATATAGTAAACAGTATGAAAAAAACAAATTATTTCCATGTTTTTGACACAAAATTAAATTTTACTACACTATATCACTTATAAATTTATATTCCCTCATAACACTAGCCTGGGTTTCCCCATTTTGCCTTGCCGCACCGCGATTTTATTCACGCTGCTAGTCAGTCTGGATACTATAAACCAAATTTTTCCCTTAAAATAGGCGACCAATCACAGAACGGGGAGGGAGCACAGGCGCATTTGATAGATGTACAGGCGCATTTGATAAACATTCGTAGCACCCAATAATACGGCTCTGGGCATTCGTAAACCACGCCTCAAATACGAGAAAATTTACATGTGGTTTCCAGACCACATTTCATTCCCAATGATACATGGTCTGGCATCATAACACAAAATATGAAATAAAAAATGTTATTGAATAAAAATATGGGAGTGTGAGAGGCACCAGAGGGATATGTGCACTGTATACTATAAATAATGCCACATTTCAGTGGTTCATGTTAAAAAGACATAATCCATGTACATAAACCTGTAATCTGAAATAAAAAATGGACAGTGCTATAAAACATGGTTCTAGTCTTGTTAATCATCTGACTTAATCCTTGAAAACATTTGTCCTTGATTTTCTGTTCCTTGTATCATGGGATGCTGGTACAGTATGTGGGACACAGGACACTCTTCTGGAATCTGTTATTGTTCTGTATCGCTTTCAATAATCCTCCCAGACCCACATGTCTCTGTGTGTGTGCTTTTAAAGGTATACTGCGCATAAAAGCAACAAGTCCAGGAGTGGTGGTCATTGAAGGAACAGAGGCAGGACTTTACCTCTCTATGAATGAAGATGGCAAGCTGTATGCTTCAGTAAGTATAAAGAAACCTTTCGGATACAAAGAGATGCATCAGCATTTGCACGACTATTATATGTGCTTTTCTGTCTCTGCAGTCGCTAGTAACGGATGAAAGTTTTTTCGTGGAGAGGATGGAGGAAAACCACTACAACACATATCAGTCTCAAAAGCATGGTGAAAACTGGTATGTCGGAATAAAAAAGAATGGAAAAATGAAAATCGGCCCAAGGACACACATCGGGCAGAAAGCTATTTTCTTTCTCCCACGACAGGTGGCCCAGGCAAAGGACTGAGGCCTGAAACCTGATAATGTAATCACATAGCATAACCATAATCCACTGTCAAGTCACAGGCTTACTCTACAAACCACTTCTAACTCGCTACGGCAGAAAAGGTGCGTTCACGCCATTTTGAAATTACCGTAATTATGAGATTTCCATTTGTACAAAGTGTTCGCTTCTTTGTAATTACAGCTTGTAAAATGAGTTTCCTGTACCGTGACCGCTGCAGATTTAATTAGCTGTTGATAGTGTTGAAACCAGACTGTAAAAGGCTGAAACGCATAATTCTTAGTCCGATGATGTGAACAGCTCTGAGTAGAATGTCATGTTGTCCGCTCAAAAAATATTTAGTCAGCCACTGATTGTGCAAGTTCTCCTACTTAGAATGATGAGAGAGGTCTGTAATTTTCATCGTAGGTACACTTCAAGTATGAGAGTATGTCCCTTTAAGTATGTCCCTTTAAGCAGGGGGACACGCCTGGCACTGCAGGATTTGAGTTCCTCTCGGTGTAGTGTGTTACTGATGGTAGCCTTTGTTACTTTGGTCCCAGCTCTCTGCAGGTCATTCATCAGGTCCCTCAGTATAGTTTTGGGATTTTGGCTCACCGTTCTCATGATCATTTTGACCCCACGGGATGAGATCTTGCGTGGAGCTCCAGATCGATTATCAGTGGTCTTGCATGTCTTCCATTTTTTCACAATTGCTCCCACAGTTGATTTTTTCACACCAAGCTGCTTGCCTATTGTAGATTCACTCTTCTCAGTCTGGTGCAGGTCTACAATTTTCTTCCTGGTGTCCTTCGACAGCTCTTTAGTCTTGGCCATGGTTGAGTTTGGAGTGTGACTGTTTGAGGCTGTGGACAGGTGTCTTTTATACAGATAACGGGTTCAAACAGGTGCCAATAATACAGGTAACGAGTGGAGGACAGAAGAGCTTCTTAAAGAAGAAGTTACAGGTCTGTGAGAGCCAGAAATCTTGCTGGTTTGTGGGTGACCAAATACTTATTTTCCACCATAATTTACAAATAAATTCTTTAAAAATCCTACAATGTGGGTTTTTTTTTCTCATAGTTGATGTGTACCTATGATGAAAATTACAGACCTCTCTCATTATTCTAAGTAGGAGATCTTTCACAATCAGTGGCTAACTAAATACTTTTTGGCCCCACTGTATTTTTTATGTAGTTATTGTAACTGTTAACAATGAATGGTGAACATTACTACAATTAAATACGACAATACTGTAAAAAGTTGCTGCCTTAAACATCCAAGTTAATTGTGCTTAATTGTGCAACTTAAATTGCAATAAACTGACTTTAAAAAAAAGAGTCGAATCTTGTATGAATAATAAAAAGTTGCTGAACTTATTTTGATGAGTTAAAGCAATGTACAAACAATGTCATAACTTATTGATATTTTTTTACAGTGACACAGAATCGTAACTAACACACGAAATAGATTTAATTAATTTATTAGATTTATATATAAAATATAATACATTTATATGTAAAAGTCTGCAATTCATCTTCATCTGAGGATGTAAAAATGATGACACTGTGGCAGTGAAAGTGTTTAAACAGTATGTGAGAAATAATAATGTTCAAAAGGCAATTAGAATTAAAACTTCTATTTATAATTCTATGGGCTATATGCACGCATAAGTTCCGCATTTGACGCAAGGATGCTCGTCCATTTCCGGTTGTGGAGATTTAAATGGAGGAGAACCGAGGAAAACGTGAATATGGCAGTCTTCAAAATGTACTGTCCTCCCCGTCTTTGAAACGAAACGTGCATACGTTTAGATGTAATTTTATATATAGTTATGTTTATTTAATATAATTTTAAAAAGAAGCATAAACACAACGAGGGGTGTCTGTTTTATCTGTTTTTGTGACTAACGTGTCTTTATTATAACCATGGAGTATAAAATTCAATATAAATTCTCGGTATTGTATTGGACTCTACGATCGGCGGAAGTTATCGAGCATCCTTAATCCTTCACCGGAAATACCGCCGTGCATAGAGCCCATTCAGCTAGGATGCATTCAATTGATCAAAGGAGACGGAGACAGTAATAACATTTACAAAAGATACCCATTTCAAATAAATGTTCTTTCGAACTTGAAAGGATCATGTGACTGACCATGTGACTTGAAAGGATCATGTGACTGGAATAACGATGCTGAAAATTCAGCTTTGCGTCACACAAATAAATTCTATTTTTAAATACATTCAAATAGGAAACTATGGAAGCTTGTTTCCACCAAGGACTACAGCTACCTTTTTTAATTCAATGGTGGTTCTTTTAAATTGTAATAATATTCCACAATATTACTGTTTTTACTGTATTTTTGATCAAATAAATGCAGCCTTGAGCACAAGATACTTGATTCTAAAACTGGTGATGGTATAATGTACATAACTGACAAATGCTGTGAAACTGACAAGTGATCAGCGTTGCCATAGATGATACATTTATTAAAAGTTACTTGACATGTGTAAAACATACAAATCACAAACAACATATTGTGAAGCACTATCTCATACTGAAGTCTTCAATGAAAACAAAGATCAATGAATCATCTACTGCTACATTTGGCATCATAAAACATTCTATTCACACCAGATCACAGATTGATCAAGCGCATTACATAATCAGGTGTGCTTGAATGCTCAATTAGTTTGCCGTTTATATTGAACTGCTATGAATCTAGGCTTAGCTTTTATTAAATGAGTAGTTTGGTCCTTATTGTGAAAGTAATTTGAAAAGGGCTTACATAATCTCGAATAAACTTTGCCCTAATATGCTCTTGGCTTTACAAGGACCTGGCAATTCCTCTGTGTTGTTCCGTTTATATCTTAAAAGTGCATCTTTATAACGTTTAATATCACTCTTCTCATATACTGTATATACATACTCTTTTTCTAGTTCACAAAAGAAAGTTCAGTTACTAGATTTACTCACAAAGTAAAATCACAAGCTCCCTCCCCCCCGATTAAAAGAAAACCCACAGAAACGAACAGCGACTGGGAATTTGACAAAAATGGCATGACTGCCAATTGGAACTTGAAATGCCAAATACATGCAAATGTAAGCAAGTTCAAACCCCATAATGAATGCATACTGTACGTCTACACTTTAAGCACTGATAAACAGTTGAATCCTTTAGTATAAAATTCCAATGAAATTAGTTGCATTGTGCAAACAACTGAGAAATGCAAGGGCGTCTGAAGCAGATGTACTCTTCATTGTTGTCCTGAAGATTGGAAAAAGCTGTGGGTGGCTCTCTGACTTTGCCGTTTTGTTCATTTCGCAATTATCCTGAGATTTTTAATCTATTCCCAAAAATCAGAAAGAGAAGATACTTCACCTTCATGTTAATATCATCTCCACAATCATTTAGATCACAGAAAGGTTGTCTTTTAATTTGTTTCCTGCTAATGCAATGCTTACACATAAACCCATCTAAAAGCCAGTAAATACTTATGATTTACCTAATAGATAAAAAGAACGCGGGTTCGAGGAAGGGTGGACATTGAATGGTCGGCCATGTTGCGAACTCTGGAGTAGTTAACAAATCCCCGGAAGAACAGCAGGAATCCTGGGTGTGTTCAAAATAACATTAGTTGTAAGGATGTTTTCAATTTTATGTTCATTTATATACACTAATGTGCAAATATACACTTACCTACAACAAGGAAAACCCACCACAGCCAGTATTGGCCATCAAAATATCCAGGGAAATAGGTAGAAAACTGTTTAATCACAGAGAGAAAAGGTTGAGTGCTCATCCTCGGTTACATTGCAATAAAAATACTAATACAACAAACAAACAGCTTTAAATCTTAACCCACTGCCATGATTTATGATAACACTTTTCAATAAGGATCCATTTGTTAACATGAACTAACAATGAACAATACTTCTGTTTATCTCAACATTCACTGTTAACAAAAAAAAATGTCTTGATTTTGTTTTTGGGGTCTATAAGAATAGGTCTTCATGCTTAAATGTAAAAAAAAAAAAAACTTTTTTTTATGATATTTATTAGGGCTGTGCAAAAGTTAATTGCGATTAATCGCATCCAAAATAAAAGTCTGTTTTACATAATATATTTGAGTGTGCTGTATATAATTATTTTGTATATATAAATACCTATGCATGCATGTATATATTTAAGAATTATTTGCGCTTAAATTCTGTATATATATATATAAATACATAATCAATATTATAATAATATAAATATTTTATATAGGAATAACACATTTTCTTAAACATATACATGCATGTGTGTGTATTTATATATACAAAATAATTATATACAGCACACACAAATATACTATGTAAACACAGACTTTTATTTTGGATGCGATTAATCGCAATTAACTTTTGCACAGCCCTAATATTTATGGCTTTTTAAGATAAGCAGCTAACCTAGCTAGTTCTATTTCCAGTTGGCATTGTATTTGATATCTAAATATTAGTGTGAAGAAAGATAAAAAAACATTTAGTTATCAATCTGGATATGCAAAGTTTTATGCATTTAGGTATGTTGAGTAAAACAGTTCTATATTTAACGAAGCACATGTAAAAGACTGGAAGTGATGCGATTTGTTTTACTGCGCTTAAAGGAGCCTTATGTAAGATTGTGGCCCAAACTGGTACTGCAATCGCTTTTAAATTACTAGAGCGGTGTATCCCCTCCCCCCTGACTCGAGGTTGCCAGATATGCTGCAGGACCCAACATTTTTTTATCCGACACGTTTGTATCTGCAGCTGTGGTAACTAGAGATGCTGCAACACGACTGACTCTGTGATTGGTCGATCGGTGGAAGGTGGAGCATCAGACCAAAACACAACATGACGGGCTGCAACTTCACTTTTTAAATGACAATATCCTGGCTGGACTACTGTTGTAAGTGATATAAGTATTTGAAATGAACATGATTTCTTAATGTCTAGTGACATATCAGGGCCATTTTATGATTATTTGAAATACATTTCTTACATATAGCTCCTTTAACCCCATTTAAACAAAGTCCTTCAGGCTTATTTGGAAACAACGGGTATGTGTGTTGGAGCAGGGTTAGAATTAAACTGAGCTTCCCACCCCTGGTTTAGAGCTGAACTCTACGTGCTCTGATTGGTTGGCTGGACCATTGCGTTGTGATTGGTCACCCACTTTGAACGAGTTTCAGAAATGCCACGCCCCTTACCATAACGGTGCGTTACAACACACTACTAACGTAACTCGATCAGGCCTCGCCAGCTTTATTTTGCATGTGCCCTAGGAGTAATTATTTAAATAAGGAATATTGTGACCTGTTCATTCCCAGAAGTGCTTCGTAACTTTGCAGAGCTTTTTCATGCTCAAACAGTAATATATTAACATAATTAAAATAAGCATAATTAATATAATAAATAAAAAATAAAAAACTGCTCATTGTTAGAAACTAATGTTAACGAATGAGACCTTACTGAAAACTGTTACCACTATGATGTAATGAATATGTAAGATTTATATGATGGCCTAGTTTCACAGACAGGGCTTAGATTAAGCCATTATTTGATCAATTAGGACATTTAAGTAGCTTTTATAAACATGTATTACAAAAAAAATATTACTACAGGTGTGCATCTTGTGGCAAAACAATGGCACTGACATATTCTAAGACGTGTCAGCGCAAGTTGCTTTCAGTTAAAACGGCTCAAACATGCATTTTAGTTTTAGACTAGCTTAAGCCTTGTCTGTGGAACTGGCCAATCATATCCTGTCATACCCTGACAATCAGGACCCATTTGACCAGGGACAGTCCAAACCCAGAGATGGCTCCATAGCGGCCGGCCGCAGACGTGGTCAGACAGAAGGACAAGAAGAAGCCAATCCAGTTGAAGAGGAATGCCACTGATGGGGCAAAGAAATGAACAGCTGTTAATGTACCTGCTGCACTTCTGTGTCCAAATGTCGAATTAGTCCAATTATTCATCCATTTCACACTATCAAAGTGTCTCTCAATCCTATTCGGATGGTAATTGTTTCTCATGAGTACATCTGTAAATAATCAACGAGGAGCCATGCAGATTTAAAGTCGAAGAACGAGGTTTGTGCTGTGTAGCAGGGCTGCCAACTTTTGAGTATAGTTTGGATTGAGAATTATGAATAAGTGTAAAAATAAGTGTATCGTGATTGTCAAAACATTGGATAACTAAACAGAATTTTATTATGTTTAGTGACATGTTACAATGTTGACATGGTCCAATCACTGGTAGACTACTGTTTTTATTATAGCTTGAAACAGATTTCACCATTTCAATACAATTCTTGTGACTTGATTCCAATCTTGACTCAATATCAATTTATTTGAATAAATATTAGGTACAGTAGATACATGTTAATTTTTCTCCAGAAAATATAATGCGTTTTTATAATAATAACAACGTTATCATGTTTTAATGATACAAGTAAAAATATAATAAATATTTAGAGCACATATTTAGCTAAATACTCCTCTCTATAGCTATTTTATTTTCTAGCCAACTTACATGCTTTACTATGGTCATTAAATTGATTGCCTGAGGTAAATGTAACGTCATGTGACATAATGTGCTCCAGCTGTTTTACTGACTTCTTTCAGCGGTTGAAAAACACTGTATCTTTCAACAGACCTATTCCTGTTTATTTACTATTAACTAGTAGTAAAGAGTAAGAGATGATTGGTAAAATCGACAGAATTTGAGAGTTGCGAATCTATTTCATATCAAAAGTACCCTGCTCTGTCTTGTTTGTCTGTGTCAGTGTCCTCTTTTCTCCGAGTGAGAAATTGGATGTGTAGGGAGAGAGTGTGTGAAAAGTGTTGAATGCGTGGGCATAGTTATACACATTATGAATATCTATATCAGCAATAGACTTCAGCAGATAAAAGACAAGGATATTAGTTAACACACAAAAAAACATGAAATACAACCAGAGGCTGTGCAATGTTGTGGCATCGTAAAAAACGGATTGACTTTTACTGTGAGTGATGCCAGCATATGCAATGTTGACCGTTCCAAATGGCGGAAGCATCAACGTGTCTTATGTGCCATCTACGTATGCATATCTACAGTGAGTATTGTGCACTCTTACTGAAAAACGTAAGCATGAATATCCCATCATTGCCAACTCGCAGTTGATCCGTATCGTCAAAGCTCTCCCTGGCAATGAAGTCCTCATCCTGTAGTGGATGTAAAAGTAAAGATGTGTCAAAAGAGTGTTGCTTTTTTTATCTGTAATTACGCCTAAAATAATCACAAACCCTCACCCGGTCAGTGACTAGTGGAACAGCGGACTCTGCTTTGCTCCTCTCGGCCTCATCGTATGATGGGAGTGATGTGGCAACATTGTATGAGGGGGGTTTGGGGAACACGTCATCCTCTTTGTACTCAAAAAAAGCTACAAGAAACAAATGAATCAGACACAGGAGTTATTTCTGGCCCGTCAGGACAGGCAGTGGCTACATTCACACACTTCTGTTCTGTTACCTGCGTTACTTGCTGCAATGCTGCTGTACGGTGGAGGTGCATCAGCAGCCTGTTGAAACACCTCCCCTGACTCCTCCTCATTATTCAACTACAGAACAAATGACACACAAGCTGGTGATATTTGGAAAGGAAATTAAATTATATCAACATTCATTTTAATCTGTGGAAAAGGACTCAAGGTCTAACTAAGACCAAGGAGCAGGACCGGAGCACAGAACGTTTTCATATATTTATTAGTATAAAATGACCAACGTTTCGACGCACATGCGTCTTCTTCAGAGTTGACTGATCCTTAATGCTAGGTGTGATTAAATACTGAAAAATAGATTTTTTAAATCGATTGACAGCACTAATATATATATATATATATACATACATACATTGTCTATCTGGGAAAAAAAACATATTTTATATATTTACATGTATTTATATGGACATTTATCCAAAATATTTTCCTCTATATTTGTATGTTTTTGTTTGTGTTGATGAATATCTCATATTATATTTTAACATTTAATATTATGTAATACTTTATATTATATGAGTCACTTAATATAAAATAAAAACAGGCAAAATATGAAAACAATTAAACCAAATTATTTCGATTTAATAAATAGGGTCACCTCGTCTTGACAAGTCATGACATGAACTTTAAAACTAACGTTATATTGTAACAGGAAATTAAATATAGTTGCTCGCAACAACACTTGACCTGAATGACAACCTTAAAGATTGATAATTCGGAATAAATTACAGACTATTGTATGCATATTCTATGATTAATCATCTAAAACTCTTCGTTTTCCGGTTTGTTGATTGTGTAAACTAAGGCCGCTGAAGGAGCGGCTAACCAGCTAATTAGTCGAACTGGGATTAGCGTTACTATCTTTCTTCGGAAAAGATTAATTTACACAATTCAGAGTCTGAGAAATTGTTATTACAACCGATTCGACTTGAAATACGTCCATAAAACCATCAACCTAAGTTACAGAAGAAGAAAAAAATCGCTCTAAAAACCAAACAAATGATCTTGTTTTACCTGCTGATATCCACTCCTCTGAGCTGTCATTCTTCTGCGTCGATCTGTTCACTTAATCAGTCATACAGTAGCAAAGATGACTAGTTTAACGTACCTTTTACCTAATATTACAATTTTACTGTTCCTTAATTTAAATGTTCGTATGAATCCAGATAGACAGTACTAGGCTAATCTATAGCCCAAACAATGGCGACTGCTCATGCTCAGTCGGGTTTCGTGTCCGCCTCTCCTGTCTCTGTCTCAAAACCTGGTCTACTGCCTACCTAGACAGCATTCAGTCACAGACGTGCTTCCAGCAGACTCAGCTCAGCTGCCTAAGTAGGCAGCTCACTATGTTTTGAACACAGTCATTGCCATGGGTGTATTTATGTCAGTGCAAAGATTATATAATCACTTAAAAGAGTTTCCAAAAGTGAGTTTGCCAAACTACTGACCTAAAGGTGCACATTTGAACTTGTATACGCTCTTGTCTTTAGAATGGTTAAAGGGAGACAATAACATTATTCCTAAATTCAACACAGATACAGTAGTTAAACCTGTCGCTGTCTGCCGTAGACAGTGCCAAACAGTAATAAACACTGTTTCTGCATGTGTAATCGTTTGTGTCCTCTAATATTTGTCTCTGGAGGGTGCATCTGATTTCACATGCAACCATAAATTACTGTTAATTTTGTTCAGTTCGTTTTTTTGCAATACAATGTAAATACTAGCTGATAAAACTCGAATGAAAATTTGAAATGTAGAAATATGAAATTTAATAAGTACTACAAAATGAATCTAACGTAAGTTTTAAAGATGCAGTCTGTAACTTTTTGGGGTACAAAATTATCCAAAATATTTTTTGAGCAAGTAGCCAGTGTTCAAAACTATCTGCTTGTCTTCAATTCAAAAGCCTGTAATAATGTTTTTAATTCCAGTGGTACTGGTGGATTTCAGGGGGAAATTCAAGCATGTCTTTGCGTCATTACGTCACATCTGTACACATAAAGAAGAGTCTCGGCTAGTAGACTATATTGAGTCATTACGTCACATCTGTACAAATAAAGAAGAGTCTCGGGTAGTAGGCTATATTGAGTCATTACGTCACATCTGTACACATAAAGAAGAGTCTCGGCTGGTAGGCTATATTGAGTCATTACGTCACATCTGTACACATAAAGAAGAGTCTCGGCTGGTAGACTATATTGAATCATTACGTCACATCTGTACACATAAAGAAGAGTCTCGGTTAGTAGGCTATATTGAGTCATTACGTCACATCTGTACACATAAAGAAGAGTCTCGGCTGGTAGGCTATATTGAGTCATTACGTCACATCTGTACACATAAAGAAGAGTCTCGGCTAGTAGACTATATTGAGTCATTACGTCACATCTGTACACATAAAGAAGAGTCTCGGCTGGTAGGCTATATTGAGTCATTACGTCACATCTGTACACATAAAGAAGAGTCTCGGCTGGTAGACTATATTGAATCATTACGTCACATCTGTACACATAAAGAAGAGTCTCGGTTAGTAGGCTATATTGAGTCATTACGTCACATCTGTACACATAAAGAAGAGTCTCGGTTAGTAGGCTATATTGAGTCATTACGTCACATCTGTACACATAAAGAAGAGTCTCGGCTGGTAGACTATATTGAGTCATTACGTCACATCTGTACACATAAAGAAGAGTCTCGGCTGGTAGGCTATATTGAGTCATTACGTCACATCTGTACACATAAAGAAGAGTCTCGGCTGGTAGACTATATTGAATCATTACGTCACATCTGTACACATAAAGAAGAGTCTCGGTTAGTAGGCTATATTGAGTCATTACGTCACATCTGTACACATAAAGAAGAGTCTCGGCTGGTAGGCTATATTGAGTCATTACGTCACATCTGTACACATAAAGAAGAGTCTCGGCTAGTAGGCTATATTGAGTCATTACGTCACATCTGTACACATAAAGAAGAGTCTCGGCTAGTAGGCTATATTGAGTCATTACGTCACATCTGTACACATAAAGAAGAGTCTCGGCTAGTAGGCTATATTGAGTCATTACGTCACATCTGTACACATAAAGAAGAGTCTCGGCTGGTAGGCTATATTGAGTCATTACGTCACATCTGTACACATAAAGAAGAGTCTCGGCTAGTAGACTATATTGAGTCATTACGTCACATCTGTACACATAAAGAAGAGTCTCGGCTGGTAGACTATATTGAGTCATTACGTCACATCTGTACAAATAAAGAAGAGTCTCGGCTAGTAGGCTATATTGAGTCATTACGTCACATCTGTACACATAAAGAAGAGTCTCGGCTGGAAGACTATATTGAGTCATTACGTCACATCTGTACACATAAAGAAGAGTCTCGGCTAGAAGACTATATTGAGTCATTACGTCACATCTGTACACATAAAGAAGAGTCTCGGCTGGTAGACTATATTGAGTCATTACGTCACATCTGTACACATAAAGAAGAGTCTCGGCTGGTAGGCTATATTGAGTCATTATGTCACATCTGTACACATAAAGAATAGTTTCGGCTAGTAGACTATATTGAGTCATTACGTCACATCTGTACACATAAAGAAGAGTCTCGGCTAGTAGACTATATTGAGTCATTACCTCACATCTGTACAAATAAAGAAGAGTCTCGGCTAGTAGGCTATATTGAGTCATTACGTCACATATGTACACATAAAGAAGAGTCTCGGCTAGTCGACTATATTGAGTCATTACGTCACATCTGTACACATAAAGAAGAGTCTCGGCTAGTAGGCTATATTGAGTCATTACGTCACATCTGTACACATAAAGAATAGTTTCGGCTAGTAGGCTATATTGAGTCATTACGTCACATCTGTACACATAAAGAATAGTTTCGGCTAGTAGGCTATATTGAGTCATTACGTCACATCTGTACACATAAAGAATAGTTTCGGCTAGTAGGCTATATTGAGTCATTACGTCACATCTGTACACATAAAGAAGAGTCTCGGCTAGTAGGCTATATTGAGTCATTACGTCACATCTGTACACATAAAGAAGAGTCTCGGCTAGTAGGCTATATTGAGTCATTACGTCACATCTGTACACATAAAGAAGAGTCACGGCTAGTAGGCTATATTGAGTCATTACGTCACATCTGTACAAATAAAGAAGAGTCTCGGCTAGTCGACTATATTGAGTCATTACGTCACATCTGTACACATAAAGAAGAGTCTCGGCTAGTAGGCTATATTGAGTCATTACGTCACATCTGTACACATAAAGAAGAGTCTCGGCTAGTCGACTATATTGAGTCATTACGTCACATCTGTACAAATAAAGAAGAGTCTCGGCTAGTCGACTATATTGAGTCATTACGTCACATCTGTACACATAAAGAAGAGTCTCGGCTAGTAGGCTATATTGAGTCATTACGTCACATCTGTACAAATAAAGAAGAGTCTCGGCTAGTCGACTATATTGAGTCATTACGTCACATCTGTACACATAAAGAAGAGTCTCGGCTAGTAGGCTATATTGAGTCATTACGTCACATCTGTACAAATAAAGAAGAGTCTCGGCTAGTCGACTATATTGAGTCATTACGTCACATCTGTACACATAAAGAAGAGTCTCGGCTAGTAGGCTATATTGAGTCATTACGTCACATCTGTACACATAAAGAAGAGTCTCGGCTAGTAGGCTATATTGAGTCATTACGTCACATCTGTACAAATAAAGAAGAGTCTCGGCTAGTCGACTATATTGAGTCATTACGTCACATCTGTACACATAAAGAAGAGTCTCGGCTAGTAGGCTATATTGAGTCATTACGTCACATCTGTACACATAAAGAAGAGTCTCGGCTAGTAGGCTATATTGAGTCATTACGTCACATCTGTACACGTAAAGAAGAGTCTCGGCTGGTAGGCTATATTGAGTCATTACGTCACATCTGTACACATAAAGAAGAGTCTTGGCTGGTAGGCTATATTGAGTCATTACGTCACATCTGTACACATAAAGAAGAGTCTCGGCTGGTAGGCTATATTGAGTCATTACGTCACATCTGTACACATAAAGAAGAGTCTCGGCTAGTAGGCTATATTGAGTCATTACGTCACATCTGTACACGTAAAGAAGAGTCTCGGCTGGTAGGCTATATTGAGTCATTACGTCACATCTGTACACATAAAGAAGAGTCTTGGCTGGTAGGCTATATTGAGTCATTACGTCACATCTGTACAAATAAAGAAGAGTCTCGGCTAGTCGACTATATTAAGTCATTACGTCACATCTGTACACATAAAGAAGAGTCTCGGCTAGTAGGCTATATTGAGTCATTACGTCACATCTGTACACGTAAAGAAGAGTCTCGGCTGGTAGGCTATATTGAGTCATTACGTCACATCTGTACACATAAAGAAGAGTCTTGGCTGGTAGGCTATATTGAGTCATTACGTCACATCTGTACACATAAAGAAGAGTCTCGGCTAGTAGACTATATTGAATCATTACGTCACAACTGCGGCTTTAACGATCTACTCTGCAACATTGACGTGAGTCTATATATCTATTGTGCAAACCCCTAAAGGTGCAGTCATAGCAAAAAAGGAGTGATGAATTAATCCCAGTTCACAGAGAACTAAGCAGCTTTCTGTTTGACAGGATTACCAGTCAGTTGATATAAACACATTTAATTCAATATATCATTTGTATGATATGTTTAATAAAAGAAAAACAGACAAGCGCAAGGAGCACAATTTGAGGCAAATACACAAGCACATATCTGCTGCGTCTCCAATCTTCACGTCAGTATCAGACTATAGCTCTTCCACCATCTTGTTGTGCACATGCATCATGCCTAAAACATTAGCAAATGGATTATGTAATTAATTTTCTTGCATACACAATATCCATGCATTCACTTTATTCCCTCAGTAGAGAGAGAAAGATATCTTTTCTTTATTACCTTTGAAATACTTGACTGTTTTGACCTTGAGCTCATGTGTGGCATCTTCATCACACACAAACACAGTCTGTGGGTGCTGCTGGAATGCTGACACAGTCCACATGTGATTCACTCCCTCTTCTATGGCTTTATAGAGGGCAAACGCTTTATGCGAGCCAGTAATAAGGACCATGACCTAAAAATGTCATAATCAAGTTATTATCATTTCAGATCAGCCCACAACTGAAATTCTTGACCTTTGTGATGTTGTTGAATCTGTTGCTATTTCTAGCATAAAGGCTTATAATAGTGTGTGCTTTCCAAAACAAACACAAGTTGCTCGTTTTTCTTAATTTTAGTATATTGGGATATTTTATTCATAATGCATATTTTAAGTGTCAGCTTATTTTAAAAATGGCAGTAGATAGTAGCCTATGCAATTGTGTTTGCAAACTGTACACAACTAGCTTACAATAAATGTTCAAAGCCAGAAATATGTAATTTTGGCAATAAAGATTAGTATCTTATAGTAGGAGTGGCTGACATTTATAGATGTTTTTAACATGCATAAGGAAAAGCACATAAAGCTTCTGAAATATGAATATTTGTACCTCTCGAGCGTCCATCACTGTGCCAACACCAACCGTAAGGGCCATGGTGGGCACTTTAGAGAGATCACCGTCAAAGAAACGCGCGTTAGCCAGAATTGTGTCCATAGCCAAGGTCTTAACACGCGTTCGGGACACAAGACTGGAACCAGGCTCATTGAACGCGATGTGACCATCAGGTCCAATACCTGCAACGTGAATACAAGGCAGAGCTGTTTAATGGTGCCATTCACAGGCCAAAGTTCGATCTACTGTCTTACCGCCAACAAACAGTTCGATTCCTCCAGCAGCTTTAATTTTGGCTTCAAAGTCCTGACATTCCTTCTCTAGATTGGATGCGTTTCCGTCCAGGATGTGAGCGTTCTCTGCTCGGATGTCGATATGCTTGAAGAAGTTATTCCACATGAATGAATGGTAACTTTCAGGATGGTCTCTAGGAAGTCCTATAAGACAATAACCATTTTTATATGACAGGCAGTTCAACCCTTGATCCCTCACGCATAAATGATCGGTCACATACCTACGTACTCATCCATATTAAACGTTTTCACATACTGAAACGATATTTGTCCCTTCTTGTGATACTCGATCAGTTTCTTGTAGCATCCAAGCGGAGTGCTTCCTGCAATACACACACAATCAGAATAGATCTGCATTTCAATTGAATGCATTATACAAAGTGATTTTTTTTTTCACGACGAGCCTACCTGTTGGAAGACCTAGAGTGAAGTATCTGTCTGGACCTGGATTAAACTTTCTTATCCTGTTTCTGATGTATTTGGCAGCCCATTCGCTGACCTGGTCATAGTCGTTGAGTATGATGAGCTTCATGGCTTTACCTGTGCCTGAGAGAAACTACCAGGAAAATAAATGAGGCACTGCCTTCTTCAGACTTTAGCCCGTATTATGGTTAGAATAGGACGGAAGTGCAGTTGAAGCAAACTACTACTACACATCATATCCAGGAGCATACTACACATCATATCTGTCAGCAGCTGGAGTTTGTTATAACACAACAAATGTACACTGAAAACACGACGGATTATTGAGGGCGTTTTTCGCGTCGCGTCGCTTTCAGTAAACTGTACACTACAATGCTCTGAATAACAATTGTTGAATAGAACCCGTGACTATTGCGATGACGACAGTGAAACGACATTACAGTGAGGACACATATAAAGCGATTTTCGTATTTAGTTAGTAAAAAACTTACCAGATCATATGTTTGTTGATGCAGAAACTCTTCCAGCAGCACAGAGGAACACGATCATGTGATCCTGAGGAAATGTTGCGGAGTTTGCAGATCTCACACGACACCGACAGCACCTAATTTTTTCAATGGAAAATATAATGCTTCACAAAAACTTATGTTTAGGAATGTGAATCGGCCAATTCAACAAGATTTGTACACTTGTTAATCCACAAATGTATGGCACTTTATAAGTACTACTCCTTGCAAAAATGTGGATGTTGTTTTTTTTTAATTAATGTCTGTGATATACCTCCACCGAATAATAGAAAAAATAATACCCCCCCCCCCATTGTTTTAGTCAAACAATGGACAAAAACGATAGAGAGTGTCCGAATATTTTTTTTTAATTATTAGCCTACCAATTAACCGAACATTATTTTTTACCAAAAATAGCTTTTTTTGGTATGATTACAATTTTTGGATCAAAATAAAATAAAAAATAATTCTGTGATTCGCAAACGCAAACAGGGTGCTGAATGTAGAATACTGTGCACATTACCAAAATTTTAAAATTTTTGCAAAACTTCACCTGTTTTGGCCTATATGTTAATAAGTAACATTTGTAAACTTAATCAACCATAAACCAATAATTGAAGCAAAATACACTACACAAAACAAATACAAGTAATTCTACAATATAAACGTGCACAAACTGAATGTTTCGATCCATATTTATTGAAACAACAGTTGACAGAACCAGCATTTAACAGAAACTCAATCATGGGCAAACAGAATGGTTCTCAATCAGAAGTCTTACAGCATTATGATTTATGTTTTTCTTAATATAAAAGGACATGCAAATGTATTCTCTCATTGCCAGAGTCACCCCGCTGCGAGGATGATGATTTAGCGTTAGCGGTCACTGGAAATATAAGTTAACATTAACAAAACATTATGTCACATAACATAACGTGTAACGTTAACGTAACATTACACAGCGCGGTTAATCGAGGTCCATGTCAGGCTTGGCTTCTGTGGTGTCTGCACTGTCAGCAGCAGCTTTCTCTGTTCCACTGGGCTGGGCTTCAGGGTTTTCCTGCGTATTGACCGGCCCGTTGGGTTCTGCGGGATTCTCTTCTTTTGGCAAGTCCACTTTGGGCTTGGGTTTGGTCACAATGGGATTGCAAGTAGAGAACAGCTCCTATGGAAAACAGAGATTTAAAAGGGATTTCATACAAATGGATCAAAATGAAATCTGGAACAGTTATGGTATCAAATGCCAATACCATAGTATTTTTACATGCACCATAGTACTAAATGATATCTGAATGCTAACATACTCGTGTGCTCTAGACTAAAAAAGTCAATACAACTGTGTCATTGACTGACCCGTGTTTTGGCCTGTATCTCTGATACTTTCACCACAGGCTCCAAGGCGAGACTCTGTTTACTCTGCTGGTTCATTTTACTGTTCATCCAGACCATAACATCATTCACCATCCTGTCCACCTTCTGAACCTCTGCCTCATCCAGATGATCATACTGCTCTTCCTGTAATTCAAAAAGACACGTCAAATCAATTGAGCACAAACCAAGTGTGAATTTGTACCTTATGCAACATTAATCCAACACAACCTCACCTTGGTTTTGTATGCCTCTACAATCTTCATGTATTGCTGCAACTGTCTGCCCAGCTCTTCAAAAGCTCTGGGTCTCTCCTCAAATTCCGTGTATCTCTCTTGAATGGGTTGGCCGAGATTCTGCAAGAATGTTTTTGATACATTAATAGGCATTAATCACTTGTAAACATAACACGAGTATAATTATCAATATCAATAGTATTGAGCTTCCATAGGATTAAACTGAAAACAGTGGACACACACCGTTATGAATGCCCGTGCCCATTTTACATTCAAATTTGCAGCATTTCGGGAGCAGTAATTACAATAATGGCCTATTTTGGATCCAAAACGGCAAACTCCGCAGAAAGGTGACAAGTGTGCACCCTTTAAAGTGTACACTTTCACCCATCTTTAAACCTACGGATCCCACCAAACCTGACCCTAACCTTACCTAGCACAAGTGTTTTACGATACAAACATGAACACAGAAAGTACATTGTACCTATTTTATGATAGGCTAAAGACACTTAATATAAAGTGTAAGCTTATACATAAATAAATTATAGACATCAAAAGATATTTGGTACCTTCAGTTCAACGAGTTTGTCGATGTATACTTGTTTAGACTGGTCTTCACCATCCTCGTACAGCCAGACCTCAGTGTCCTCTAGTTTTAATGAGAGAGCATCTCTGTCCTGTAAGAGAAAACAGATTGCACTCATGCACCACTGTTACGTTATTTGTTACTAAAACTATAATATATTTAACATATTCTGAAATACTATAACAGTATATAAATACTGTCAAGCACTGATATTTGTGTGTCATTCTGACAGGGATATCAATGCATTTTTAAAACTGGATTCCCACACCTGACCAATCAATGTCTAGACATTTTCCAATCTTTTGTAATCACTGGACAACGATTTCAAAATGCTTTCATGTAGATATTTCACTTATAGAGAGCACATTTTAGCTAATAAATATTTTGTACAGGCTCATGAGAACACCATGCATTTCGACTGTTCTCACACTCTCATTGACGAACTTCTCGAATATCCCGTGCAGTTTGTCCCTCATCTCGTACACGTACTCCTCCACATAGTTCTTGGCATCGTTGCGCTCCTTCTCAAGCTTGTCCTGCATGATCATCTTTCCCTGAGGAAAAGCAATTTCACAGTAGATTTAACTCAATGTTAAAAAAAAAATATGTCCGCCTTAATCCAGCTTCAGCCGCACAGAAAGCATACCTCGTTCTCCACGAAGAGATTGAGCATGTCATTGGCTAGCTGCCACTGTGGGTTGTTTTCAATGGGCAGCTCCAGGACCTTTGTTTTCACTTTGGGCTTCTTGGCTTGTGGAGGCTGATCCGATTTCTTCTCCTGTTTGCCTTCCTCTGCTGATGTCTGAACAAGTCCACGGAGAGAACCATTATAAAGAAACGTTCACAACAACAACTACTATAACGGTAATCTCAAGTTCTTTAAAGGGATAGTTCACTTTGAAATTAATTTTTGGTATGTTTTAGCTTACCTCAAGGGCATCCAAGATGTAGGTGTCTTTGTTTCCACAGTATTTTCAATTCTTTTCGGTCAAACCGTTTTTGTCTATCGGTCATATAATGGAGGTCTATGGTCACCACCTCAAACAGCATGCACAGAGAAGTCCAAATTAAACATGATTTAATGACTAGTAAATTTAAGTACACGTTGATGGCCTAAGACACGAAACGAGCGGTTTGTGTGAGAAAACGAACATCTTTTATATCGTTTTTACCTCTTGTAACCACAGGAGGGCACGGGCACTCTGTGGCTGTGGTTACAAGAGGTAAAAACGATAGAAATACTGTTTGTTTTCTCACACAAACCGCTCGTTTCGTGTCTTAGGCCATCAATGTGTACTTACATTTACAAGTCATTAAATCATGTTTAATTTGGACTTCTCTGTGCACGCTCTTTGAGGTGGTGACCATAGACCTCCATTATACGACTGATAGACAAGAACAGTTTGACCTAAAAATATTAAAATTGAAAATACTGCGGAAACAAAGACACCTACATCTTGGATGCCATTGAGGTAAGCTAAAACATACCAAACATTCATTTCAAAGTGTACTATCCCTTTAAAGCAGGATGGATTCTGATTGGTTTTTAATGTTTTTATTGTTCATCAGCTGGAAAAAAGTTCTGAATTAGTCTGATTCCACTAACATCATTCCTATGTGCCATTATCATTATAGTTGTGGTGTGGACACTGCTATTCTTAGTTATATATATTTATACTATATCTTTATTGTTATCACTATAGTGATCATCCTTGGTGTGAACAGGCCTTTAGTTATGTGATCGGTGTCTGAACGGTAATTTGATAAATGATTGAGTCGATTAATTGATGCTACTGGTAGATCCCATTTACCTCCATTTCTTCCGTTCCAGCTTTTTTCTCTCCATCTTCCTGATCTCCATTTCCTGAAGTCTTTTGTTCATCTTGATCAACCTGCATTTTGTTCTATGAATGATTGCAAACACATGGTGGCAACTTTACCAGTGATGTAGAGCTGAGCAGTATGAATGCACTAACAACATAGAGTAATACAAAAATACAGGTCATGATGAGGGTGTGAAAGCAGTTGTGAGAGAGGGTGTGTGGACAGTAATATCTTGAAGATATACCTCATTTTCCTTTTCTGTGCTCTGCTCTGTGTCCATGCTCTCCTCTTCCTCTTCAGATTTCTGCACCTCCACTAGCGAGGCACTGGACACACTGAAGATGCCATGGATGTTCACTCGCACCTTCACCTTAACCTTTGAACTCTCGCCTGAGGCCTGGGGAACCACCTTCTGGACAACGTACTGGCCTGCATGACGGTGTTAATGCACATGTTAACATACAGTCTGTATTCATGACACGCTTTACAAGATTGTGCAGCAAATATAAGCTATGAAAAGCAAACAGCATTTGCAGACCAAGAATATTTGCCACCTCAATTACTGGCCAAACATACATGTATTTTTGCATTACCTTCAATATATTTAGTTTCAATAGCAACAGAATTATTAGTTTTTGTCCGGTTTTCATCAGAATATTCAGTTATGGCATTTTGATTAAACATTACAAGGACATTTTGATTTGTAATTAAATACATACATGGATAGGTAGGTACATAAAAATATATATATACACTACCGGTCAAATTTTTTAAAAATATTTTTAAAAGAAGTCTAGTTCTGCTCACCAAGGCTGCAATTATTTGATAAAAAAAAAAAAAAAAAAAAAAAAAAGTAATATTGTGAAATATTATTCCAATTTAAAAAGCGTTTTTCTATGTGAATATATAGTGAAGTTTAATTTATTCCTGTGATCAAAGCTGAATTTACAACATCATTAGTCCAGTCTTCAGTGTCACATGATCCAACAGAAATTATTATAATTACTGGCAGTGTGAATGAACCGAAATCAAACAATCCTGGGACAAATATCGGGTCACATTATCAGTGTATTTT